GCTGCAACAGAGCGAACGCCATCCCCACAGACGCAGAGGACAGAGTCTGCACTCAAAGCCGCCATCGGCTGTGAGGAAGCACAGAGTCAGCAATGAGGCTGATGCCTCCACCAGCTACATGTCGACTTTTAGACCTGAGTGACTTAAAAACAGGAACCACACACGGAGCAAAAATGGAGAGGGGAAGGCTGGAGCTGAAACAGACCTGCTGTGATTGTAGATGTTATCCTGCAGCCTCTTCAGGCAACTTTGATGTGATGGCTGTGTGCTGAGTCCTGCTGCTCACCCTGCTCACCCACAACTGTGTGGACACACAGCTCATCACTAAATCTGCAGACACACCACCACCATCGGCTGCGTTTCAGATGGAGACGATTCTGCTTACAGAGCAGAGGTGAGAGCCCTGATATCATGGTGTCCGAACAACAACCTGCGGCTCAGCGAGACCGAGGAGCTCATCGTGGACTACAGGCAGGGTGGAGACGCTCCCTCTTAGACCGAGGGGACAGAGGTGGAGAGAGTCAGATTCTGTCTGGCTTGCATCCTGGGGATGGCAGCAAGAGACAACTTAAACTGGACTTTGCCTTTGATTCTTGTGCGCACATTAAAGACACATTAGAGACACAGGGAGGGAGAGGTTTGCACGCTGTTGCGCTCACAGAGGGAAGGTAAAGGCTTGTAGATGTAACTCTGAAGCTCTTGTAACTGCATGGATTGGCTTTGCTGACAGAGAGAATTACCTGATAGGAGGTTGCAGCCAGACATACTGCAACGCTGCATCGGAGACTTCTGCTATTATAGGAGCACTTCCAGGACAGAGATCATGGCGGGATGGTAGATGGCGCTGCAGCGACCAGTAGCACCGACGTGACAAAGCCACACGATTACATGAAGGGGTCTGCAAGTGAGAAGGACAGGTGCACATTTACAGTGAGTGTAAATATTTATTTATCATTTCAAGTAAAAACTGACATGAAAGCTTGAGGTGATCTTAAAGCAACATTAGAGTTTTTTAATATCTAAAAATGTTTTCAAGGACAAATATGCCAAATAAAACTGTTGTGCTGCTCTTTTACAGCACTTTACAAAGTACGTGGACTTCTCTCAGTGTTTGCATCAAGAACACGATTTATTTCTTATCAGTCTCTTTGTACTCGACAAGATCTGTGATTAACAGAATAATTACAACAACATTTTGTTTTGAAAGACGTAAATCGACATTTAATGTAGTCAAAAATGAACAGCAGAGTTTATTATAAACCAAGTTTATAACAAGTTTATTATAAACTTATTATAAAGCAAGTTTATAATAAGTTTATAATAAACTTATTATAATAAACTTATTATAATAAACTTATTATAATAAGTTTATTATAATAAGTTTATTATAATAAGTTTATAATAAACTTATTATAATAAGTTTATTATAAACCAAGTAATCAATTACACACTTGGACGTGTTTTATATCAATTTTATTAAATATATTATGGCTTAAATGTACAAGAACCTTTATATACAATTACATAATTAAC